AATACTATTAAAAATTGTATAAAGAACAGAATATAAACAACTAGTTTCGTACAGTAGATCAGGAAATCCAGGTTGATCCTCTCGAACTCGAAAGGAAACCGCACGGATGAATTCGCTGGCGGACGGTTCGTTAGCGCTGATGATTCGGTCGAATTACCGGTTTGAAAATTTCATTTTAAATTCTACGTCCACGTTTCATCCTTGATTTTATAGAAGATACTTTCAGAATCTACGCAATAATGTATTCGCGGAACGTCTTTATTGTAGACCGAGTACAGCAGCGAGGAAGCGGTAATTAAATACAAGAATATCGGATGGCACTACTGCGATATCTAATTACTAGCAGATTTCGCGGTTGCATTCCACCTTTCGTTCGTTTGACTTCGTGTTCATTCTTGAATCATTCGATTAACACAAACTACCGAGCAGTTCAATTGACTTTTGAAAATTTTGGTATAGAAACTCCAAGAGTGCATCTGTCCAGACTTTAATTGATTTATAATTGAATTTGCGTAGTGCTAAATGGCGAAGTTTCGAATGGTGTTTCGTATGTTGAACTGAAAAATCGAAAGTTATTCTAGTAACTTCTTTAGACTCTTTTAGTGTTTGATAAATTCCAAACTACCTTAATTTGTTTCATTTCACGATAATTTATAAGTTCGAAGAAGGAATCGTTTATATGTAATTAACCAGTGTCGAAAGTCAGAAGTCGGTTAAAATATTTTTAAGAGAACAATGTCTCCAGTGTTTTCAACGTTCTTTAAATAAATTACTGTTTCGAAGGTTTAATGTAGAAGGCGATCTTCGCGTAACGAATTTGACACGACGACTGTCACAAAAACCTTCAGAGTTTTACGTCTCGCTTATTCTTCGGTGGCGAAGACAAAGAGGAACAGTTACTTGTTGTTTGGTATCGGAATGCTTACGTCACACTATTATCTAGTAATTTATGAAATACTTCCGTTCAATATTAATTACCTGACAAATTCTAATTATCGTTAAGTAATTTGTGAGCTCCGGTCATCGGCGACCGACGTGGCAGTCAACGTGTTAATTTCTCAGAGGAAAATTTGTTACCCTTCTAATAATTGCGAAAAGACATCAGGCATGGGTCATTCATTCATCATTAACCCTTAGCACTCCAGATGGTTTCGTAATTTATCAGGAACTGCAACTAATCTTTATGGTATCTCTAGTGAAAACGAAGAATGCTGTAACATTCCTTCAATGTTTTATCTCCCTTTTCAGCACAAAATTTAGATGCATGGGAAATCTAATGATTTTAGGGTAGTTTCTTTGATTCGTTAAAATATTTGATAACTGCAATATTGGAGCCTACACAGTTCAAAGGGTTAAAACACGTTTGCCAAGCAATACCGAGGAATTAACAGTATAAACGTCAATCCATGAAAACGATTTTATGGTAGTTTCTTTGACTCGTTAAAATATTTGATAACTGCAATATTGGAGCCTACAGAGTTCAAAGGGTTAAGACGCGTTTGCCAAGCAATACCGAGGAATTAGCAGTATAAACGTCAATCTATGAAAAGGATTTTATGCTAGTTTCTTTGACTCGTTAAAATATTTGATAACTGCAATATTGTAGCCTACAGAGTTCAAAGGGTTAATCCTCTCCTCAGGTTTCCTCTGATAAAAATTCACGTAACTCATTTACCTTTACTTTCCACCTAATCACTCGACTGTTCACGGTACGAGTGTACACACACGAAACATCTACGCGTTCAGCGTTAACGGAAATCGCCGTCGGCCGAGGAAATTAGTTGGCGAGCTCGTTTCCAGCGCGGCCCGGAATCATATCGACGCAAACATTTAAACGATTTACTTTTCGAAACAATTTATCGGAGACAGGAAACAGGAAGTTCGCTGGAGCGATGCACGCTATATATACTTAACGGAGCACCTGGCCCGCGCGAAAGTTTAATTGGGAACGTAAACGGTCCCGACGAAACTTCCGTTGCAGCGCGCTGCAGCGTGTCCTCGCTGAAAAATACGCAGCTGGATCCCCGGACGGCCCTTCGACGTACCGTCAACTAACTATCCTCTGTTTCCCTATTTCCCTGCGCTTTTCCCTCGCCTCGGTATCAACGTCGCATACTTACGACGTTGATTAACCTAACTACGACGTTATTAACATATATTTGGCGCACGGCGTACACTGCGACGCTTATACGAGGCGCTCGGAGTCGAGTCGACGCGATGATCTTGAGAAATTTCAATGGAGTCAATAATATTCTCAGTTATTCGAGGATTTACTCGGTTTCCCTAGGTCAGGTCTTTCCTTTCATAGCTTCGAGAAATATCTGAGCTAGAAATAACTTAACCCTTGGCACTCGAGATCAATCAGCGCTCTAGCGAAAATGAAAAATGTAACGTTCCTTCGATCTTTTATGTTCCTTAGTACAAAGTTTCGGTGTGTGGAAAATCTAATGATTTTAGGATCCTTTGATTCATTGAAATATTCAATATTGTAACTGGTGCAATATTCGAGCCTACAGAGTTCAAAGTTGACATTTAGAGACGAAATTTTCGTATTTCGAAGACTAGGTCCTAAACAGACGATTTAATTATTTAAGCAGTAAGAGATCGGCACATACTTTCCCTATTTTCTATTGTTTAATTGATGTTTAATTCAACTTCATCTGGCGAAGTATGTTTTAAGAACCGTCGTCCGCAAAGGGTTAAGCGACATTAACTTCTCTAGAGCTGACTCTGCATTTGCTTTAGAGCGACTTATATGGCACGTATGTAAAATACTTGGTTCGGTTTATCCGCTGCGTTTCAGATGTGTGAAAATGATACGAATAACATATCACGCGAAACAATTCGCAGGGAGTAACGCGGGCGAAGTTGAAATTCTCCGCTGCAATTTCGCTCGCGTTCTGCGCGGCCGATTTGTTTCATTCAGGAAAATGCCATAGCAACGAGCATTTCTACTACAACAAACTTAACCCTTTGCACTCGGAAGGTTTTCACTAGAAATATTTGAACATTTGACGATGAGATAAAGACGATATTCCGTGAAACTAATTCGAAGAGGAATCACACGTACATCGAGGAACAAAGCTATTTTATTTAAATATTTCCAAATTGGTGCATTATAGGAAATATAATATTAAATATCAAATTTTATAAGTTCCACTGTATGAAGTCAAGTGGTGAGTGTCACCTCTCGAGCGCAAAGGGTTAACTGCGAAATTCGTTTCTTTTCCCAGTGAATCGTCGACGAAACAGCTTCATCGAGCAGAATTTGCGAAGGAAAACATAGGACAAGGGGTTAACCACTTCGCGTACTATTTACTTTCGTCGCTAAGCTCGTGTAACATTTCACTATCGACAATTTGGAAGAAATACACCAAAATTTTCCGTTCTACTTCAAGTGGAAATTTCATTTGAAGATAATACATTGATAATAGCAAAGTAGTTTGCTTTGATCCGTGGGTAATGAACAACATTGATTCTTGTTAAATTTTTCTAGAAATCTTCGTCACGAGTCTCACTCGTCATTGTACAGCAAGGGGTTAACTTGCGGTGTAAGTGCCAGTGTATAAACACTAAATTTGTTTATTAATAATCTTGCATATAAGGATATTTTTCGAAACACTTTGGAAAATTGACATTTCTGTGACAATTGCCTGTCGACGTGTACGCGTCCCCGACGTTCCTGCAACAGAAGCGTCTTTCCACCGCGAGTGGTTTGTTAACGGCGCGTTTCCATCTCCGCCGTATAAACGCGTCAGCAATAATTATTACAATCGAAGGCAGAACGATAGGTTATCCGCGAGCTTCTGTTATTCCCCATTTCTCGCGAGCTAAATTATATTTACGAGCTTCGATAACCGAGAGAATATCCTCGGAGTTTAGGACGGAGTTACTAGTTAAAATTCATCGATACCGAGCGTCAGCATAATTTGTTTACGTTGAGGTGTAGAGACGCTCGCGATTAAAGATATCACCCGAAGCTAGCGCGAATCCTTGAACCATATTGATTCCGTTCGAATTTCGAACGACGCTTCGCAGAATTCTTCGGAAACGACGAGTCGGTGCATGAACCCGATGTTCATTTATTTATTTACACTCCCAACGGAATAATCCTTTGGATGTAAGGTCGAGGTGAAACACGGGAAAGGAGACGATGCGACGATAACAGCGAATTGTTAACGCGTCGAATGCCGGAGGATTTAGAGCAAAATACAGAAAATGAAAAAATATATTAAATCATTCGATTGAACTGCGTTATTATTGCACGTTCTAGCTAAATGTCACGGAATTAGCATTATTTGTAATATATAATAATAATTGAGACAACTGTAGTAATTCAATTTGCTTGGGTCACCGGTGACCCCGCGATAGTCAACGTAACCATTTGCCCTGGAAATGAATTTAGAGATTTTAGTCTCGCGCGATGAATTTTATTTTCACCTATTTCATGCAGATGTGTGCATTAATTTCATTTGTTAGTCATTTTGTATAGAGCGCTACATTTCGAAACAATCTAATATGCGTAACGCAACAAGATTATCAATGTATGAGACATCGTTGGCCATTTTTAAACAGAAACGTCTCGACGCGCGTGGCATGTCTTTCGATTTACTGCAATTCAATCAATTAAACGACGATTTAAACGACTTAAAAATATTTCTATATCATAGACAATACTACCTAATATGGTGATGTTCAGCCAGATGAACGTGCAATAATAACGCCATTCAATCGAACGATTCAATATATTTCCCCATTTTGCGTCCTTCGCTCTAAATCGCGCGGCGTTCAACGTTAATAAAAAGATAACCGTCAGATACAAATTCGGTAAGCACGGAACACATCGAGTCATTGAAGCGAACAAAGCGGCATGTAGGAAGGGACGAACAAACGACGAGTCGAGACGTGCCAATCGACAGTGGAACGGCGAAACGGTGGCACGATCGTCGGGGGAGTAAAGGGACCGGGGCGCGATCGGCGAAACAAAGGTTCCAACTTACGGGCAATCGCGACAAAATGGCTGGTCGGCGAGAGGTCACGTCCCGTCGGCGAGAAGCATAGTCCTCTGTTCCAGCGTTCTCTCGTTAATTTCGCGTCCGAAATTCTGGCGGCCACTAACGCACCTCTCGCGTCGCGATAAATCACTGGGTACATAGATCGTGTACGCGTTCCCCTACTCCAACGGCTGTTTGCAAAGCAAAGTCGAGACCGGTGTTTATGTCTTAAACAGAGCAACGATGACGCACAATGTGTACGGGAAAGGTCGACAAACTCGCCGATCGAACGGCCGGTGATCAACAATTTTTGGAAACGTGCTCGAGTGGAAATCCTGGCGATACGATTTTTCGAAACGTACAGCCCTGTTTTAACCCTTTGCACTCTGTAGGCGCATCTTAGTCGTCAATTGATTTGATACGGCGAAATTATGGAGTTAGACATTTAATATTAAACTTTGTATGATGTATCGATATGTAAGATATTGAAATAGAACAGCTTTCTTTCATTTATGTGCGAATTTCGTTAAGTCAGTTTGAAAGAATGTCGTTGGTATTTGATTAAAAAATGTTGAGTGTTTCTAATGGAGAATTTCTGGAGTGCAAAGGGTTAACGATGAATTCGGTCGATTCGATGTTAACCCCTCGGAATATGAATTCTTTCTCAACTCTGATCGATACGGCTGCTTTGTCGTTAATAATTTATTGAAAAGAGAGGAAAATTCTAAGCATACGTTATGCCTATATTTCCTTTTAACCCTTTGAACTCTGTAGGCTCCAATATTGCACCAGTTCTAATATTAAATATTTTAATGAATCTCAAAGACTCTGCCCTACAATTATTCGATTTCTCACGCGTCCAAATTCTGCACTAACAAGGAAGATAAAAGATCTAAGAAACGTTATAGCATTTTCCATTTTCGCTAGGGATACCATAAAAATTAGTTACAGTCGCTGATAGATTACAAAACCATCTGGAGTGCTAAGGGTTAAGTACAATAGTTTATTACAAAGGAATAATATTTACTTTGAATTCCAATTAACTAAGTAATATATATATTTGTTGAATCACGTAGAAAATCTCCACGAGTCTCACTCGTAGGGCAAGGGGTTAAAGAATGTCGCCTGTAACTCATTGGAAACTGTTGAATATTTCCAACAGAAAACTCTCGAGTTCAAGGGTTAATCGAACTACCTGTTTATCACGTTTACACAGGAAAACCTAATGTCAAACGTTCGTCCTCAGAGGGTTGAGCCTTGAGAGTCGAACCGTAACCGTAACTTTAACTCGAATTTCCACGGCCTACGAGCAACCCCCGTTCCCCCAAGGACGACGCAATAAACCGTCGAGCGGGAGTCCCCGAATCCGCCGTTAAACAGAGCTCGAAGCAGGTGTTTGCGTTCAATCAGCGGGGATTCATTTCGGCGGACCGCCGAAACGCGATCGTAATGGCTTCTCTTTCTGATTGCAGTGCCCCGGGGTGCCGGAGCGAGGTCCCGCGGGGATTACCGCGGATCCACGACGCGTCGCAGATGTACACGCCGCGAGGGGGTCCCGTGGAGATTGGACAAATTGAAACCGATGCTGCGCCGCTCGACGGTGGCCCGGGGAAGAACCTCGGATCCAGCTAGCGGTTCGGAGCGGCGGTAAAGTTCGTCATGGCAGCGGGGCCTTCGGCGCTCGGCTCTCGTGAAAAGGTAGTGGCAGTCAGTCGATTTATCTGAGGCGAATCCGTGGGAAGATTCTTCTCTACAGCGAAAACTTGCGGACACCGATCGAACGACCTGTCGAAGCTGACTGGCGACAACCCTCGGTCAGGCGCAATGTGAGTGAGAACAGGATGGCGCATTGTAAGGCCACTTTTAAAGAACAAACTGTTTACTCGAATAAAAACATGTTTATTATTACATTTGCTCTATGACATTGGCGGAAGCGATTTCTGAGCGTTTGTTACAATAAAAAGTAGCATGTTCCATACATAATACACGTTTACACTTTATGCACTCGTTCTTAGCACTAGGTTTACTTATAAGCATCACTTGGCAAACGTTTATGTCAGTTTTGGTTAAAACAAGTTGTACAAGAATACGTATCGTAATAACCTAATCTTGAATCCCCACTTCCAATATCTAAATGGTCGAACATCAATTTTTCTAGGGACAATAGAATAAACCGGACAATAAACTTAGGCTTAGCGCATGTAGTGCATCTTCTCTTGCTAGGCGTTTCCAAAGTTTCCACTTTGTCTTCTTCTACGTTTCGTCTGAAACATTTTCGCGTATAATCAATATCGTGGTATTAATGGTATTTTCAATGTTTTATTTAAGAAAAAACAGGAATCGATAATTGACACATTTCCAACAAATCCAAACGCACCCCACTCTCACCACCACGCACTCATCATCCTCGCTTACGTATTCTTCGGAAAAAACCCAGCAACCCTTGGGCCTTATCTCCATGAGTCCCTTCCTCTTTCGCGACCCTTAGAACGCTCGCTGTCACTGTCTTAAACCTACGATACTACAATATATTCGAAGATATTCGACAGCAATTTATAATTTCCACCCTGTATAATTCTACCGCGACCGAGCGCGATGTGCCTAAGAGGCATGCTGCGACTCGCACACAATGTTCAAATGCCTACTGCACATTATAGGTCGCTGCAGAAAACGAAAAGCTACTGAGGCCGGTAACGAGCACTTCGATAGGACGAAGCAAACATTGTGCCCGTTGGATCGGTTGCGCCCGGCTGAGGGATAAACGAGCGAAGAGTCGAGAGATTCCGATCGAAGATGGTAACGTGAGGTCGGATCGGGGTGTCGTCGGATGCTGATGACGAGGCGGCCGCAGAGACGCGGAGGAAAGTAGCCGGGAACGATGGAAACGAGCTACGAAGCGTTCACGGGCACCGGTTACAACGATGGCGGGCAGTTCTCGACGAGCCTGCCGATCGACGCCGACTCGGAGGCGCCGCTCGAGTGCAGGCAGGAGAATCTGACCGGGCTGTTCGATTTCATCATCTGCGGCGTGCTGATCAACGTGATCGGCCTCTTCGGGATATTCGGGAACGCGATCTCGATGATCATTCTGTCGAGGCCGCAGATGAAGTCGTCGATCAACTACCTGCTGATCGGACTGGCCAGATGCGACACTATACTGATCGTCATCTCGGTGAGTCCGGTTGCTCGATTGTAACGGGTACGAGTTGTGTTTCGACCCTTTGCACTCGAGAGTTTTCTTGCTGGGAGTTCTGTGTTTTCTGATGAGATAGGAATGATGTTTTGGAAACTTAGTAGTTTCGAGAGTAGTTTCTTTGATTCGTTAAAATATTTGATATTGTAACTGCAATATTGGAGCCTAGAGTTCAAAGGGTTAACACTAGAACTACCGTACCAGTCAGAATGACTGGTTTCGATTTTTTTGTTTAGCAATTATTGACATCTTTGAGGCATTGAATCTTCGAAATGATTTTGAGAATAAATAGCTTTATTTGAATACTATAATGAATCTCTGAAGAAACTAAAAATAATCTGTCGTTACAATTTTTATGGAAATTTTATATTAATCGTATTAAATGCTCGGTAGTTCTAGTGTTAATTAGTCAGACAAGAGATCAGCACCTAGTATTCTTTTCTTCTGTTAATTAAGCAATCCATGTATAATTTAGCTCGACCTGAAGGTTTTGTATATTTCAAAGAATCTTCGTCCGCAAAGGATTAATGTTGAATATCAAACTTTACAATTTTTCACTATAAAAATTAGTTACAATTGATAGATTGCAAAATAACCTGGAATACTAAGGGTTAAACAGTAAATTCCTCGGTAGCCAATCAGGACTATAAAAATTCATTACAATTGATAGATTACAAAATAACCTAGAATACTACGGATTAAACAATTAATTCCTCGGTAGCCAATCAGAATATCGAATCCTCTTCCATTGTAACCTCGACATCCTCAGGAACATCGAATCGCGAAACTGGTATTCAAATGTCCATCAGTGCCAAAGGGGTGGCTTTCAAACCGCGAAACGCGTCCGCTTGTTCCATCCCGTAACGGCCGCCGCGATGGCCGACTTCAGAGCAGCTCGAAATTTACGCGAGCACTTCCGACCCTCGGCTACCGCCGAAGAGCGTCTTAAAAGGGTTGGCCGCTAGTGTCGGCATAAATTCCGCGGAGGTAAAAAGGAGAATGAAAGATAGAAAGGAATCGTCCCGGCTGTTGCTCGCCGCGCGCCAGCCGACGTCGTCTAAACCAATTCCGTCGCCGAGAATTTACAAGTGACGGCCAGCCCCTCGCGTGCTACGCCGCAGCCGCGACCGCCCGTTAATTTATTACGCTGGGAAACACGAAAGCTCGAACAAGTTGTTGCAAGCGAAACGAGTCGGCGTGAACGTCGGGCGTGCGCCAGCCCGCGATTTAAACGCGACGCGCGACCGCGGAGTTACTCGGTGAACCTCGAATCAGCTTTATCAGCACTTAGCTCTACCTGCTAACTGGCGATGTTATTTTCATTAACTCTCCTTTGTTATTCCTTTTTCCGTTTGTACCGCTTTCGTCGGTGAACTCTTGCGGATGGATCGTTTTAACACTAGGTTTACGGAGTCAATTTGAGTTTGATTGATGCAATTATATCAATATGTACTTTGATTAACTATTTTTGAATCTCTAACTTCCAAGATCCGAATGAACGAAAATGAATTTTTCTAGGTGTAGTAGAATAAGCACAGTAAATGTAAACCTAGTGTTAAGTTTCTAATTGTTGCTTGTTACGTTCTGCGAAGATAGGATTGTAATCCTCAGCAAGGAACATTAGATTATCGACCTTGGACTGTGGGAAGCACTAAATTTGCAACGTTTGCAACGAGGTTTTTCAATTCCAGTCTATTAGATCTTCAATTGAACTCTTGTGGATGGATCATTTTAGGTTTCTAATCGTTACTTGTTACACTCTGCGAAGATAGGATTTCGATTCTTAGCAAGGAGCATTAGATTGTCGACCTTGGACCGCGAGAAGCACTAAATTTCCGTTTGCAACGGAAGGGTTTTCAATTCCAGTCTATTAGATCTTGAATCCTAGCTCGCGTCGAGGCAAAGGTTGTAGTCTACGCCACGCCGATGATCCAGATATACGAGTTCCCGATGAAAGTGGCTGGAACAGCTCTCGTGCAGGACAGAGAGCTGTTTACCCGCGGAAAATATCATCCGTTTCGCCGTCGCGTTACGTAAACCGCCACGGTTACATCGGCAAATGAACTCGCCGTGGTCGATACCAGGATCCCCCGGGTATCCGACGTTGCTCGACCAACCATCCGCAAACGGGCTGTCTCCCAGCCCGATTTCCTCGTTCGAAAACGCAAATACAATCGGAAAAGAACGTTGATCCCGGGATCTGAAGTTTCGCTTAACCGCTCCCGCGCGGATTTCGCGCGGAAAACACATGGATACAACCGCTTTCGATAACCTACGATGCACTTGAATTTTATCTATGGTTTTTCGTTGTGTCGCTCACTGTTCTTTTATGTAAATCGTGTAAGCAGTGTATTCCTGGGTTGCATTGTTCACTATTATTTCGATTAAAGAGAATACTGTTGCGCTACTCAGCGTTCGTCTGTGCGAGCTAACGCTGTGGATCCTTCTAACAAGATTTCTCTGAGAAGCTCTGGTGCGCAAACTGTTAACCCTTTGCGCTGGGACGTGATTCGCCACCACTTAATTTGACTATAATGATAATTAATCACTTGGCTAACGTGGGACCTCCACTGGCGAACTCTCAATCAATGTTCATAATTTGTTCGACCAATTACCGAGATATTGTATAAGTTCCACGTTAATGAAACCAACCTTTACTTCAAAAGTAGAGATATAGACAGGCAATAATGATAACCAATAACTTAGCTAACATGGGACCTCCACTGTCGAACTCTCAATCAATGTTCATAATTTGTTCGACCAATTACCGAGATATTGTATAAGTTCCACGTTAATGAAACCAACCTTTACTTCAAAAGTAAAGAGATATAGACAGGCAATAATGATAACCAATAACTTAGCTAACATGGGACCTCCACTGTCGAACTCTCAATGAATGTTCATAATTTGTTCGACCAGTTAGAGACATTGTACAAGTTCCACATTAGCCAAACCAACCTTTCGTTCAAAAGTAAAGAGATAGAGATAGACAATAATAACCAATGACTTAGCTAACCTGGGACCTCCACTGGCGAACTCTCAATGAATGTTCATTTGTTCGACCAATTACCAAGCCATTATACAAATTCCACATTAGCCAAACCAACCTCTAGTTCAAAAGTAAAGAGATATAGACAATAATGATAACCAATGACTCATCTAACCTGGGACCTCCACTAACACCTCAGACAGCTACCTAACTCTCATCATTCCAGGTGCTGATCTACGGGCTGCCCGCGATCTACGCGTACACCGGTCTGCTGTTCGACTACAAGTTCATCGTGTACCCGAAGATCGTCCGGTTCCTGTACCCGTTGTCGTGCATGGCGCAGATAGCGACGGTGTACCTGACGCTGACGGTAACCCTGGAGAGATACATCGCGGTCTGCCATCCCCTGAAAGCGAGGTCCTTCTGCACGTACGGCCGAGCGCAGCTGGCTGTGCTGGTCATCGTGATCTTCTCCTTCGTTTATAACCTACCGAAGTTAGTGGTCTCCCCGATATACATTCGTCTGTTCTCAACCTAGCCGAAAAGCTGGCCAAAAAGCTGAGCCGAAAACCTTGACGAAAGCCCGCTGTCCGCAGATTCTGGGAGATCGACTTCTTCACGGAGGTCCACTGGAAGTACAACGTGACGGTCTACTGCCTGTACCCGGCGGACCTCAGGAGCAACGACCTCTACGTCACACTCTACGTACACTGGATGTACTTCTTCATATACTACCTGTTCCCGTTCCTCGCCCTGGTGGTCTTCAACGCGGCCATTTACCAGCGGGTGAGGACGATCGATCGTTTGATATCGGTACTGTTATCTCCCCGCTCCCGGAGAAACCCGGGGAGTCCCGAAAACTGCGTGAAACGGATATAACTCGGAACTGACGTAGACGGTAATGGTTATCACCTTAGTTCGATTCTACGTAACCGTTTCGGACAGAACCGATATATCAGTCGATCGGAAGCCGGCGCGGGTAAGTCCGGGAAGCAAAAATTGAAGTTGATGCCTCGCCTTCTGATATTATACGTGTTTAGAAGCGATGCATAAAAAGGCTGACTTAGGAAGAACGAAGAGACGAGTGAATCCTTGAGTAACTAAGAATATTGTTTCTTCGATTAACCCTTTGCACTCGAGAGGTGACTCTCACCACTTGATTTGGTTTGCAAAATTATATATTAGACTTTATAATTGTATAATTCAATTATGATTGAATATTCCATATATTGATGCATCATACAAAGCTTAATATTATATATAAGACTTTATAATAGAAAAGCTACAAGCATATAATATTAAGCATCTACTATGATATTAAGCATCATACAAAGCTTAATATTATAAAGCCTTATATATAATATTAAGCTTTGTATGATGCATCAATATATGGTATATTCAATCATAATTGAATTATACAATTATAAAGTCTTACATATAATTTTGCAAATCAAATCAAGTGGCGAGAGTCACCCCTCGAGTGCAAAGGATCAATCAATATATTCTAGTGTCAACCAATTTGCACCACAAGCGCTTCTACCTTGTAATTTGTATATCACAAGAAAAAAGGAAAGATCGATTTCATAAGTCCAACAATCGCCATATGGCTGTATAGGTTTCTCATGTCTCACACGTTCCGAACCATTTTTACGCAATTGCAACAATTATGTCGGTGAGAATCAATCTTCCACTTTCTGTGATGCAAATGTGTTAATCACCGATGCCCAACCCGAACGCGGCGACTATAGCGTGCAAAGCGCGGTACAAGGAGCGCATCATTAACGTCCTTGGCCCCCCCGACGAAGGTAAACTGCAACGACGGCGAAACGCCGGGATAAATTTCCTATGGGACACGGCTCTCGCCCCGAAGCACCGTCTCACCCTCGAAGAACCATGACCGCCCCGTACCGTGGACGCATCCACCGGTACAGCGAGAGCAGAAGAGGAAAACAACGATGGAAATAGCTTCCGGTCGTGATCGAAGCGCACGAGCAGCGAGAAACCGCGTGGGACGCGGACCTTCTGTTGTAACCCAGTTCCATGATAACCATAATTTCGGAGGGAATGACTCAACGGACGAGTCCTTCGATTCTAACGAGCGTCCGCATTACCATTCCCGCGGGGCCGACCGAAGGAAAATAGAAATGCGCGACGCGACACATGCGGGTCTCGGCTTTTTTTGCCTGATAAAACGCTTCAGATAACGCGCGGCCGCGCGGTGACGTAAGCGCCACGGTGAATTGATTCTGTGGGTATCGACGTTGCGCCGGAGAAACTTCGGAACCGTGATCGACGGCCGGAACGCTTCGTTCTCGCGAGCGCCGCGGGGATTACCGTTCGCGACCGGAAGAACCTTAGCAACTTCGAAGTCGCGTATCGGTCGTCGATCGTCGTCTTGTCGATTCGTTTCGTTGAACACTCGCACTTAGCCGAGCACTTTAAAGGAAATTTCCTTTTCCCGCTGAAACATCGATGTTCGCGGTAGTTTAAGGGAGAACTCGCGTTTTCTGCGAGGCGTCGAGACCGTACGAAGCTTATGCGTTTGAAATATCGTGTAACAGAAGAGTAGGTATCGAGATTTTAATTAACCCTCTGTAGGCCCGTGTAACTTTAACCCTTTTAGTGCCAGGCGAGAAAGAGGTGAAATAACCGGCCGAATTTCATGGTTTTACTAGGGTCTGGGAAAACGTTCATAAAAACCGAACAAGAAACAATATTTATATGATTCAAAAAGCATATTAAGGACGAAATAGAGAATAAAACGATGACACTAGTTTTTCTATGTTCATTGAAAATTATATAAATAACAAAGGTATAAAGGATCATAAAGAAAGTAAAAGTTGAGTTCTCTTACGAAACGTATTCGCACGTACAAAAAGTCATCTTTTCATCATAATTTTATATAGACCATTTACAAATGATAAATCTAAATCTTATTGAATTGTACAATTTAAACTTACAAAATACAAATTTTTTTTTATATTATTGACGTCATCGAATAATTACATATATTCATCTACTAGACTATCGATAGTTATCTTGATCTTGCATAAACTATTATATTTCTGTTTCAAACATCAATGCTCAAAACATTAATTTCGAAATTCTATAATTTATCTTTGCCAAGTCAAATGATTGCAACGTCATCCATCGAATAATCTTGCATAAAGTATTATTTCTGTTCCAAACATCAATGCTCAAAACATTAATTCGCCAAGTCAAATGATTGCAACGTCGCCCATCGAATGCAGACCTCGCTGAAACCTCGATAAAAGTGTCCTTCGGATTCTTCTGAAAGAGCAATCGCTTATTTTTCATACGCGCCGCTGGTTCTCTCACCGCGATTATGCTCAGACGACGCGACACCAATTTTCCAAATGGCGCCCGGCCAGATAAATCTTTCCGCGCGGTCTCCCGCGGACTACATAAGAAATTTCGTTTGCATCGAGGCGAAAAACAATCTCTGATCCTCGGAGACTCGGCTAACGGCGACGAGAACGTTCGAAAAAATATACTGCGCGTTTAGGAGACGTAAAAGGCGCGGAGCGAACGGTTGCAATCCGACGTGTTACGGACGCAAACAAACGTTCACACCCCCGCGACGTGTGACACGCTCGAACGTGTATTCCCATCCCGGTTTACGACGTCGACGACGAAAGTGGAAGCATCGAGGAAATATCGACGATATCGTGATCTCGGACGACAGACAGCTTCCACCCTTATTTTCCGTTTCGTGTGGGTTTATTCTGTAGGAAGGTACAAGGATTCCCACCCCCGTGCTTCTTTGCGACAACGGAATCTAAGGGTGGTCAATTTCTGGAATTTTGAACAGCGAAACTTTTAGCCCTTTGCACTCGGAAGCTTGTCACTAGAAATATTCGACTCTCCAATGAGACATAGGCGACACTATTTGAAACGAAATAAGGAGAAGACATATGTAAATTAAGGAACGAAGCTTCATTTGAGTACTATAATGAATGTCTGAAGAAATTGAAAATAATCTGTTGTTACAATTTTTATAGGAATTGCATATTAGTCGTATTAAATGCTCAGTAGTTATAGTGTCAATGGTGCTAACTTTTTCAACGATGGATTATTTATTTCTTGAGATTAACATGCAATTCTTCTTCGTTTCGCTTTAGTTTCTCGTTAGGATATATTTTAATTGCATTTGGCCTGCATTTAACGAGTACACACTTTATTATTTGATTTTATTGCGCGCAATGAGAGATTTTTCAAACTAAATTCCACACTTAACTGGTTAATTATGGAATAATAACCGGTGACATGGAATAGTTTCTACGTAAAATTACCGGTCAACAGTGTGTTAATTTCTCCGTTTCCACGATTTCGACGTCAAATGTTCCATATTAGGCGCCATTTTCTATTTATCTGAAGCGACCCAGGAAACGAAGAACCGTGAAACGTGAAAACGACGCCGGAAACGGACAGCCGTAAAGATACACTCGCCTGGGAGCACTCAGTTTTTCGTCGAATTTTGTCCACGCTAAATTAATGCCTGTATCGCGCGGCGGTCCGAGGGAGCGGGAAAAATAACGTTTCCGTGCCGAATACGCCCGCCATTTTTCACTTTTCGCTTCGTCCGGGGAACCATTAATTATTTCTCGCGTTGCCCCCGCCTGTTCCTGGCCGGTTCTCATTTAACTCTTCCCTTCGCTCGTTCCGGGACACTCTGGAAGAGAAACGACGCGTTACGGCGATCAATTAACACGCTGAACGCCGTGGGGGTCACCGGTGAACTCAATCAAGTCGAATTATTACAGTTCGATCAATTAACACTAGAACTACCGAATTACTTGACGATAATTACAAATTTGTCAGATAACTGATGAATGGAAATATTTCATAAATTACTAGATAACAGTGTAACGTAAGGCTTAACGCGTTGAATGCCATGGGGGTCACCGGTGACCCCCGACCAAATCGAATTGCTACAGTTCACTCAATGAAATGACAATTATATGAAAACATTTCTATATTGTATATGATGCTACATAATACAATGACATTCAGCTAGATGAACGTGGAATTATAATGCAATTCAATCAAGTGATTTAATATCATATTTCTTCCATTCTGTGTATTTTCCTCTGCGAAATCGTGTGGCGTTCAACATGTTAATAAAAATAAGAATTTTGTGCTAGCTCGAAATCGTCTAGTCTACATTAACAAAGAAATACCTATTGCAATATAAATAGAGGTGAAAAATGACAAATTACAATTTGTCAGATAACTGATGTCGAATGTGTAGGGCTACTAAAATAAAACCACCGTGACCCAGGTCATGGTCCTCTTGGTCATAAATTAGTCAGTGGGCCTGGACTATCTCTCAGGCCCCCAAGTATCGACACACAAAACCGTCTACAAATGGAAATATTTCATAAATTACTAGATAATAGTATAACGTAAGGCTTAATAAAAATAAGAAGCTTGTGCCAGCTCGAAATCCTCTAGTCCACATTAACATACAAACACCTATTACAATATAAATACAGGATGTAACAGTCCCGCGTGTTTCAGGTGAGAAAAGCGAACAAGGAGCTGCAGCAGCTGTCGAGACACCAGCGGCGCGAGATCGGTCTGGCGACGATGCTGCTCTGCGTGGTGATCGTGTTCCTAATCTGCAACATCCTGCCGCTCGCCTCGAACATCCACGAGACGTTCTTCACGGACCCGCCGCTCTGGCTGGTGCAGACCGGCAACCTCCTCGTCACGATCAACAGCAGCATCAACTTCATCATCTACGTGATATTCGGCCGGAAGTTCAAGAGGATATTCCTCAAGCTGTTCTGCAGCTCGAAGCTGTTCGGGCCCGGACGGGACAGCCCGGAGTTCCAAACGTACGACGAGTCGATCGTCACCAACATGACCAACATCGAGCTGAGGAACTCGATCAGGCACTATCATCTGAACAGATCCAGTACCATCAGCAGGAACAACAACGTGTCGAACGGCAGCACGCGGCAGAGCTTGAAAACGTCGGGCAGACCGGGCAGTCCGGGACCGTGCGTCTATTATCCGGCGAGAAGTCCCGTTAGAAGTCCCAGCCAGATGTCCAGGACGTCTAGTAACCAGAATGGCTGGAGCAAGAAGGACGTGGACTCGGTCCTGTAGCGAATCTGACTCCGAGTGCTTCGGGAACTGCAGTGTGACGTTGAACGAGTGGAAGTCTATTAAAGGGGTAGCTAATACCTACGAGCTTCAGGAGAAATAATCGACTTTTGTGAATCTTTGTTGTAATATCAGGCTACCAGGGTGTAGAAGTTGTAGCTTATTTTGTTATTGGTGATGTATGATAGGTTTTTGTAGTTTGATGTTTATATTGTTAATCAATTCCTCGGTATTGCTTGGCAAACGTGTCTTAACCCTTTGAATTCTGTAGGCTCCAATATCGCAGTTATCAGATATTTTAACGAGTCAAAGAAACTACCCTAAAATCATTAGATTTTCCACACATCCAAACTTTCTGCTGAGAAAGAAAATGAAAGATGGAAGGAATATTATAGCATTTTTCATTTTCACTAGAGATACCATAGAAATTAGTTGCAGCTGCTGATAAATTACAAAACCATTTGGAATTCAAAGGGTTAATAGTTTCAAATGATTGGAGCATTCTAAAGTAATTGACATTTTGAGTTCATCGTTTCTTTACCGAGGTCATTGTGAAACAAAAGGAATTCTGAAATATTCTGAACAATGTTCCATCAATCTTTAATAGAAATTATTTTCTTAGAGAATTAAGGCTACAAAAAATTATTATGTATCACCAAAAACTAACTAAGCTACAAAGAGACTCCGAACGTTACTATAACCGTCATTACAAGAAAAATTCACCGAGATTGTTCTTCTGACGTTCGTCAACTACCCCTTTAAAACGATCATCCGAGTCTACACGGATTCTCGCGAGTCTAGCGAATGTTCTCGACCGATTAGCTTCCAGAAAATCGGTGCGGGATCCATGATCCACGGTAGCGTACTCTGCAACGCTTCGACCGGAGAGCCGATCGTTCCGGAGACGTCGGTAACGTAGCGGCGACGTTCGAAGGAAACGTACGAGTGAGCCTAGAATCAAAACTCGATTAAAATTCTCTCTTGATTTACTGTTCGTGTCTCCGCACTTTCTCCTATTGTCGGCGTGAACGGAACACTGGACCGTAGATCGCTTGTGTGAATGTACTCGGACGGACTGCGGGGAGAAAAAAACTGTGCGCGCAATTCGCCGCCACCCCGATGTCATTCGACGATCAGTCGGACTCGCGAAACACGATGCATTTCTCGACGTGCAACGTGTGACTGCTTCATCGTGTGTATATATTGTATACAAAAGCATTTCAGCGTCATAAATAGAGGAACGTGTCTTCGCGCTAATGCGTAAGGTCGTCATTCGTGAACCATGTCGGTATAAACTTTGTGATAACGTTTCGTTCACGAGAAATGGGATATACATTTTCTTTTTTTTTATACGATTCACCGGAGAACAGACGAATGATTACCTTACGCAAATAGAAATCGAATGCAAGAAGGAGAATTGAGGACGCGAGAAATTATACTGTAAGAAAAAGCGTTTCCGGTATTACAGTGCACTACGTTTTAGCGAATTGTACATTCAACTGGTCGATTATACATGTTATTTTGATATATTCGCGCGGCACGCTTCGCTTCTGGAAGAGAGAAGTTGGATGAGAAAAAGAGGATACGAGTAAATGTAGATTTTCCGTTATTCTTGCTGACTTTTATAGGTATCGAATTTATAGCTTTGTCTTGGAAGAGATACAAACGTGAATGGAGTATTAAAGTCTGGCGCTTTTTATGATGTAGGGGAAATAAAAGTGGACGTGAAAGTTTGAGTGAATTTACAATCGGATCATTTTCTCGCTTAGAAAGTACACAAGGAAATTATCGGTGCAAACGTCTTCAATGTGTTTGCCTGTGTCTCGAGGGAAATATTAAGGTGCGAGAAACTTCTGTTCATCGTGTCGCATTATTATTGTTAATGTATTCTGATATTTTAAGGTGTATCACACGGAAGAAGGAAATGATTTATTTTTGTTACGATACGTTAATCTGCACTAATAAATAAAGACGTAATACATTTCATTCGTGGTTGTTTATAAACACGTCAAACGCCATACCTGTGTATGTCCTGATTCTTCTGCATTTACACCTTAGTATTTCAGAGTTAAATACGGATGTGTACCTGACACCATTTACCAAGTAGATCTCTTAGATTCTTTCACACTTTATTTCATGAACTTCCTTTAAGTTACAAATTTACTTGAACATAATTGTTTCTATAGTGTGCATCGTTTTATATGAACACTGCATCGATTGCAAATATCAAGACGTACAAACTTCTACCAGAACTTCTGGCAGATGTATTTTACGAGTAAGATAACATACTTGTAATAAACGGAATAGAAAACATGTCTGTTCTATATAAATAAGGAAATGTAAAATTAAATGGGGGAAAAGAAACACTCTTGCAATTGTACTACAAAAAAATACATGAACTAAACGAAGTATATATATATATATATTACAGTCTAGACATGAAATTTCTATTAAACTGCAGTTATATTGGGAATCTTTGTGATTACATATGTATATATACATGTATATGTCTAATCGATAGGAATCATGTTATCATATAAATAAAGTGATCTACTTATATCATTTTTAGCGGATAATATTAATCCCTGTACCCAATATCTTAAGTATAATTGACAAAATAAATTTTCATGTCTTATCATCTTGCGTTACATTACAATTAATTACAACTGTCTCTCTTTGCAAAAACAAATTACAACATCCCTATGCTTGAATTAGAAAAAAACAATACTAGACGTACTTTCATGTTACCAACTTATTTATTTTGCCAATTAGATACAGTGTTCGATATAAAACGTATATTGACGTACAGATAAATCATTGAAATAGCAGGTCAATCGTAACGACCTGTTTGCGTAATTATTCCGCAATCATAATTATAAAAAATAGATTACCAAATTCGCCAATCAACGGTAAATAAATACTTCTATTTTATTCATCGTACAGGATGAAATTACAGCACTGAAATTATTATTACATAATACATTTATTTGCTTTCGGGTAACTTTTCGGCCTTTTTCTTTGGCTTTAAGTAATAGTACAGGCCTATGGCAGCTATTGCAGCATACGTAGCTTTAGCCACCTACAAAAAGAAACGACAAGTTTGAAACATTTCCAATCATTGTTACACAAAATAATTATTGTTAGTCGAACTTAAGAAATATCACGAAGAACGAATATTTAGAGGTTACTGACATTTGCACGTCCATTATCGGTGACACTATTGAAATATTTGGATAATCCAGTAAGCTTTGGTTCTGATCCCTCTGAACCAGTCATTCTTGTCACCAAAAGCTAAAACGCAATACAAACGTATAATCAATCAAGGAAACTGAGAATATCCCTCGACAAACGTACCTCGAGCACAATTCAAAAAGCAGTATGGCAACTCCTCACGTCTCTTAATCCTAGTTGCATGAAAACTGGCACCAGATGGAGCATCCAATATCCGGAAATGCGCAAACGCAAAACAACTCCCACTTTAAAAGTTACTTGGGCAATTTATATTTTGGTAAATTATTTATTCAATTAATAGACAGAAAACGAAGGCATTAAAAAAATATCAATTTAATACTTACATATGAACATAGTATTGCATAATGATATACATGATGATTAAATCACAGCAAACAGTACTTCACAAATAAGATACAAATCATGGGAATAATTTCAAAATCAACTTTAGCATTTTTTAATAACATTAAATACCATAATAAGGTAAAACAAGAATCATATTTTTGTACTGTAATCGTTGATACATAAATAAGTATTGTCATAGAAGTCCTTCTAATAATTAATAACGAAATTTTACTTTCTACTGTCAAAGAATGAATATTTTACAATTCTTCCCTGTTTTCAACCATGTACTCCAATCGTCCGTATGCATTTATGATCATCTGTGAAAAGAGAAATAATATATTATAACATTATGTAGAATTCAGAAAATATTATATATTTTATGGTTGTTTACCCAAATTTCTTGCATGGTCGACCCACTCACAAATTGATTGGTCATTAAAACTTCATTTATTTTATCTGCAGAAATCATATTTAATTCGTTTAACAATTTCAGCGCCGCCTTTATTGGTAGTAACTGAAGATTCTCATTACTGTACATGATATTCTTCGTTGGCTGCCTTAGATTACTGAAATAAACAAAACAAATTTTTATATTATTCAAAAAGTATACGAAGAACGTTATTTATCATAATTACACACCCTTTACCTTCTTAAATCTGCAGGTTCTATTAAACATTTGGTTCTATCAACGTTTACAATTGGCACTTCTATATTTAGCATTTGCAGTATATGTAACATATATGAAGCCGTTTTAAATTCAGTAAATAACACGAACTCGTTCATTGATAACCACCCTTTACTTTGGTAATAAAATACGTGCATCAATCGCTTTGGTAATTCTGGAAAAAGGAATACAAGAGTAAAGTACACTGTCAATTTATTAATAAATAGTTACAAAAGTACTTACCAATTGCTAAAAGATATATTTTGGGATGTAAAGATGTATAGATTGGGGTTGAATAATTTTTACCAAAATATGTAGACTCCCCTGGAGCAATTGTATCCCAAGTATTCTTTAATTTACTTAAATTTGCATAGATATTCATTGTCCCTATATTACCAGTCATATCCTGAGATTCTACGATACCATTTACACTAAGATTTTCAACATTATTATTTTGCAGTTGACTTTGATTGCATGTTATCTTCGTATCTTCATTATTCATGTACTGCGAATACATTTTATCCCAGTTGTTGGATTGAATAGAATTTCTATCTGCTGCTTTAGACCATGTATATGAAGATGCACCATACTGATATATGTCATTAATTGTTTGCGCTAACTCAGATAATCTGTCTGAAGTATGAGAAGTGGATGGTCGAGTTAAATATCCTTCATCTATGCTCATATTATCCTGCATCGTTGGTAATGAAGTCGTGAAACTGTTAATTGGTAACCACGATGTCATGTGATTCTTTATATTGTCATTATTTGGAGTATGATCGATGCAAGAGTTTTCCAATGGCAAAAGAGAGTTCTTCGTGTTAAGTTCATTTACGTTATGTATCACTGAAGGGCTATTTATAATAATATTTTCAGTATTTTTCATGTTATCCATTGTTTTTACATAATCAGTGGAAAAAAGATTTGCATTCAATATGGGTAACTTTGTATCAGTAATGTCCATGTTGCCTGAATCGCAACTAGAATAACATTGATGACAATTGTATGGAACTTCCCCGCAAGCTTTTTCTGCAACATCATGATTCGTATCTAGTTCTGCAGTATTATCTTTTTCAGAAGTGATTAAATTATCAAAATTGAAACAAATTTCTTCCTGTGGATCCGATGCGTCCAGTTTATTTAATAAACCAATTTTGAAAGGATTAGTTTCTTTTAAAGGTTTAGTCAGATTTGTAGGTTTTTCTAATGATTCTGGTAAACCAATTGTTCCACTAAAAATATTTTCAAATCCAGGTGGTACCTTTTTGCTCACAGATATATCATTACTTGCCAATGACTGACTTACTATATTCGAATCACTCTTTGCGAGAGTAAGAATCTTCGAGTATATTGATACATTCAATTTTTCGATCAAATGTTCTAACATAGTACAATTGTTGAAATTTATATCGTTGTTCAAAATCTCTTGAGTAGGATTCCCGACTCTTTGTAAATTGTTGACATTAAATGGATATATATTCGAATCATTTATATTTACTCTATTTGTTGCCGTTGAACTGATATTATTGTTAATATGTGAAGTAGTATCCTTTATATTTAAAGTATTGTTCATTGGAGTGTCGTTTAGTTTTGTATCAGAATTGTTCATTACTTTGTTAGAAAGTATCTCAAATATTGCATTTATTTGAAGCTGTAATTTTAAATATTCGTTCCATAAGCGTAAAAGTTTCTCTGGCGAAATTTCATCTTTCTTTTGATCATAAACTGGTTGATCTTGTCTAAATGGATTTGTATTTCTTGTCGATGAGTTAAAAGGAGCAAATGAATTATTTTTAGTAACCTGATTTTCCAAATTTTCCTCTAATTTTTGTAATTCATTAGGTAATTTCTGTTGCAAAGGTAACTTAATAAAATTTTCTTCTAAAGTACTTTGAGGAGATATCAAAGGACCAATGTCAGACGTTTTGTCTTGTAAAGTACTTTGAGGTGATATCAAAGGGACGTTATCACATGTTGCTTCAGTTCTCTTGTTGTTGACATTAAATGTATTAGTTTCTTTTGCATAGCACTGGTCAGGTAAAAACAGTAAATTTTCTTCCACGTATAGCAATAAATTGTGCATATCAACTTTGTCTTCCTATGTAAAAAGAAAAAGAAATGATCAATCGAAATGATACTTTATGAATTACATTATGAAATATTATTTGTGTATACACATTATTTGGGAAAAATGATCACTTTATGAGATCATTTCGCACATTGTAAAGATATTGGTATAAAGTAAAATGTACACAGTTGACTTTCTTCTTAAAATATTTTTATTACTTAAATAAAAAGCATAGTACATGTAAGCGAAAACATAAAGATCGTATTTTTCCCAAAAACTTAAAAATTGATTTGTACTTTTACGTTAACTGTAAAGTATAATTGGTAAGCATTCATTTGATTCATAAGAAATAAAATAATACTATAAAATGGCACTATAGACTAAAATACTATGTACTTTTAGTTGTAAAAACCATGTTTTAACACTAAACGTACCGGCATTTTTATATACATCTATTCCTACCGTAACGGGTCAAATAATTACTATAAAATAAAGGTAAACAAATTAAACGATTCATTTTTCTTAGTTTAAACAGTCTTTTACTTGATAATGTAATTCATTCAGCAGCATTTTCGATCTAAATACTTTTAATTGTACTTCAACTTAATTTCTTTGCTTTAACTTAGCCTTGTTTAACATTTCTTTTAATGTTCTTGATTTCCCTCGTAATTCACTATACGTTGAAACTGAGTTTTCTAAAATGGAGTCTTCTTTTCCATTCGATTCTACATTATTTTTAAAACAAGTTGTAGTAACTTCATTCTGTCCATTTTTCAAATTTTTAAACTTTGCATTTGAACATTCTATCTTATCTAATTCTTTGTAATTCTCTTGTTCTTTGTGTCTGTCTATTCTATCTGTATTCTGAACCGAATCCATATCATTTACTTCTTCTATTGTTAAACAGCTATTAATTTTGGTATCTAATGTATTTTCAATATCTTTAGCAAAAGGAGAATCAATTTTCAAAAGACGGTGCAGATTTTCAGTTGGCATGTATACATCCCACTCTTCTGTATCAGATTCTATATCAATATCATTGAAAACTGGTACAGTAGATTTTGCTGTAATTGCATCAGCCGATAGTGCTTCATTTATCGATACTAATTCTTCTGTTACTATTGTTTCTTTGGTTGATAAGCTACCTTCTATTTGTTCTGATTCCTTCGCTAACTTTTCTACTTGTATGGATTTTTGTGGTAATGACACTTCTTCCATTACCACTGATTCAATTGGTACTAATTCTTCTGATAAATCTGATGTTGTTGGTCTGTCTGTAGATGCAAATGGTTCTTCATGCGGTTTATCATCGCCAGATTTACATTCATATAACCTTAAGTTATTTATATCTACGTTTTCTGCATCAACAGAATTTGAGATATCACTAGCGTTAAGTCTGGCATGTGCTTCATTTAATATAATTTCATTTTCTCTTGTTTCAGACTCCCTATCATTATTGTTAAAACTTTCTTGCGATGATACTGATGTGCATGAGGCAGTGAGATCGTCCGAATCTAGACTTACAGACTGATTCAATTCACGTTGCTTCATTGACCACAAATGTAATAATTTGCTTGCAAGAGTACATGATTTCATGTGTATATAATAATTTTCCAATTGAGATGTACCATTATTAGAATTCATTTGAAAATCTGTATCACAAAGCTTATCACCACCGTTTGAGTAAAGGGCATTATTTCTGATTAAATCATTATTGTTCTCTGCAGATTCGATAAATTGTGTTTCATTTGTACTTTTAGAGATGACTGTCGAGGGCTCGAGAAATTCTGCGGATCTACCTTCTGTCAATATATTCAGCATTTTCTTAGAAATAGCTACAATCTTTTCTTTTCTATTACTTGCCGCTTGTTTCTGTATATTTCTTAGCACTAAAGGAGAAGGATCCTCCGTCTGATTTATATTTCCAGTGGGTAACCAACGTACGTCTTCGTCACGTTCAGTAAAATGAACACTACCTCGAACTGCTCTTAAAAAATAACTTTCAGCCAGCGGTATATTGTCCCGTTTCTCTGATATTGATTTATAGGTTTTTTCAACAACGTCTTGCTGCGAAATATGTCCTTTTCTTTGTTCCATATCTTTAGAAATAGCTGACCAATCTACATGTTTAAATTCGTTAGACATATCAGAAGAAGTTTCTGTACACGTCATATCTGATTCGTCTTCTGAATTTTGTATATGAAAATGATTAGCATATTCTTTTGGTATATACGTATAATTTCTCAATATATCATCCTTTTTGTTTGACTGCTCGTAAACGTTTCTGCCACAAGAAGATTGAGAAGATGCGGAAGTATCATCATATTCGTTGTCATCATGTTTGATAATATTATTCAGAGATTCCCTTAAAGTTTGTTTCATTTGTTTACTTAGTATTGATTTAGAATTTGACAAATCATTGCTTTTCACTCCATCATTATGTTCTGTGTAATTACTATTATAAGGCTTAGAATTCCTCTTAAAGTTCATTAACTGTTCGTACAAAGGTATTAAATTTCTTGGCTGCTTCCCTTTTAAATTTAGTCCGCTACTACCTGCCCCTTTGATGAAACGCTTATTTTTAAGATACTGTAATATTTCCTTGCCTTTCTGGTACGACGTGGAACTTATTTTATTATCAGTAACTATACCAAAATTATTTCCAGATGACGACCGCGAATTAATAGTCGAATCATACAATTCTACTTTCTTTTGAGAAGAACCTGCGGCGCGTGTTAATTTTGTACATTCTGTTGGCTTTACCAATTTATCAGATTGAAATGTTTTAGGTGTTCTAGATTTTTGTTTCCTACGTTCCTGACATTGTAAATAATAAAGAAATGGAAAGTTCCGTAACTTTATACAGACCATTTTTCCATGTTCTGCTAGTTTCTGCTCAACTAGCCAATCATTAATGTGTACATCTTCTTCTTCTAACGTGTCAGTCAATGTTACCATCATTGAATTGTCCTAAATTGAAGAACAACAATAAATAATTAATTACTTGTTTTTCAAGATATGTAATTGCTTTTAATAAACATATTCTTTTTTTATTAGATTGTATGTTTCATCCTTACCTCTTCATTCATTGATGCTACTGTTGCAATTAAAGGTATATTCGATGTTCTAACGGCAAACTGATGAGTGGCATTACGTGTCCATTTTGATGATTTATACGGCCGTGTATTAAACAGACCACAAGGTATAGCTTGTGCTGGTAGAAGAGAAAACATTCTATGCAAGTAACACACTGCATTTGGCGGATATGTTTTCAACGTACCATAATCATAAAACATCACCTGTAAGATATTGCTATAAATAATAATACTTATCACATTAAATTCAGTTAATATAATTTCTACCATTTTTGTGAACCTACAGTAACTTGTAAGTCAGGTTTCACTGATTTTATTATACCTCTATGCCATACTCCATTATATACACATGCACAATTTAGACCTTTTTCTAATATAACAGGTGGTACAACATAATCTTGATGTTTTGTTACATAAAAATTACTGAAAAGGAAATAATTGTCTACTACTCAACTATGCACATTGCAAAAGCTTATTTTAATCATACATACTGCAACTCATCCATAAATGTTTTAAATGTCCTTTGCTTTTTACGAAGTTGTATCCAAAAGAATGCTGGAGTGAACACTTCTGCAATAACAACTTCTACGTAAGGTTTCTCGTCGCTCACTAAGTCTACGACATTTAGATGACCTACACTTTCTCCGATAGTTACTATACCATCTGGTATTAATTGATTGCATGTATCAATTGACTGTAAGTTCAGGAGTATTAGATTTACAAGAATGGTTAATCAAAATTTCATTTACAATTATAAAAATGTTATCAACCAGAGTTGTTGGAAGTGCTTCATCTTCTTCGTGCGGTAAGTAAATCTCATGTAATTGTGCAAGACTCATAGTTGTATGTTTCTCCTTTGAATCATTCGATGGTACATCTCTTTTAGCAAAATAAAGCATAAAGTCACCTATATCTTCAGACTGTACACAATGAAAAATTTCTGGCAATTGTGATGCAAATTCTCGAACACTACTGAACCCAAGCTCTGTATAATTCAAGCATACTTTGTACTCTTCCAAATACTTTTCTGGAAGTTCAGCACACCGAATACCATTGGGATTATTCTGGATAAGTTTTTCTAAACGAAATTTAATTCTGTCATTTATAAGGTTTTCAGTATGTTTACTGTCATAATTTTCATTGTCTATATCACTATTATTATTATTATTATTGTTACATTCTGTAAGAATTTCAATATTGTCATTGCAATGGTTCAAATTATATACATTATCTTCATTGATTTCAGCCTTTTCTGTGAGTATATTAAATTCATCTTTCACATTTTGATTTTGGCATTTAGAGATAGTTTCTTTTATGAAACATGATGTTGTTTTTGTCTTTGCAAGTGATTTTGGAGATGAAGTAGATATACTCGTGGAAGATATAAATTTAAAATCATTTTCTTCATTGTCCTCATATTCATACATATTATCCAAATCTTCATTCCCACTTGCAGTCACTATCGGTGATCTCAACTGGGAGGTTTCTGAGTTATTTAGAATTGGAAAGATTTTATTGTTATACATATGAATTTTGTGCGATAACATTTGCAACTGTTCTTCCATTTCACTCATTGTAATGTCCACATACGGCATCTGTGCTTGTACTGTTTGAAATATATAATCTTTATTCACACCATTTGGGTATTTATTAACAAAATCAATTGTCATATTTAATATCTCAGCTGGTATCCGAACCTTGAACGGTGCAGTATTTGGGTAATAATGACTTGGTTTATACACTTTTCTTCCAAGTATAGGCTTCTGATCTTTTTGGCCAGCTATTAACTTACTAACATGTTTAGACTTATCAGATGGAATACCATGTAAAAAGGTTTCATTGTTCCTATTTTCTATTTCGATCGTTTTCGACATACTCTGTAGGAATTTCATCAAGGAACTATGTCCTAAACGTTTCCAAGGTATTCGTTCACCTTCCAAATCATAGTACTCCTTACATAGTTGAGGTAACGAGCAACCTCTTTTCTGTGACAATACTAAGGCTAATATTGTAGTTTCAATATTTTCACGTTCCTGGGAATTCACCTGCATCATTAATGATCTCGAATTTTCTAATTCCAATATCGAGTTTCTATTAATTATTGAATTTATTAAATTCTGGAAGCTGAAACAGAAGTGATATGCTGAATCTATTGTTAAGAAACATCGAGAAAACATGATCCATCGCTATTGAGACTCACAATCTGTTTACAATGTTAGTGATTTGAAACAATTATATACTGTACATCGCTCATACTCTTTCAACACTGGATCACAGCACAAAATTGGATTGTTTCGCTTAATTTATAAAACCATGTGGGAAACGTCCCGTTCTGCGTATAAACTAACCTAACCAGAAAACCAGCAGACGATAGCTAGTTACACAAATTCAAATCTCTTTGTGTTTCTATTTGCCGCGCAAAGTATCGACCTATCTACGACGCGATATAAAAAGTAGCATTTTTTAAATTCCGCGGAGCACTTTTTTACTGTAAACACGTAAATATATGTAGAATAATCATATTCTTAAAAAGAAGAATCATACTCTAGAATACGAAATAAATAGAAAAATGCTAGTGTTATTTCATTAACTTTCAAAATTTTTCTAACATTATTTATATCTTTAATTAAAAGTAACTGTTGAAGTATACGATAAATATTTGGTAGAAAACATGTGTAAGTGTGTTGCCAAATACTTTTCGTACATGTGTATGCATATACATACATACATAATGCAATTAAAAGCATTCTAATAAAAGGCATTGTAAAAGATATAACAATAGTTCTTATGCAACTGTTATTTTCGTATTTTTATGGGCTACTCATTACTTTATACTTCTTAACAAACAGTGGGATAGTATCGTGCTGCATCGATAATTAAACGATATTAATCGTTTTCCCTCAGTCGATTCGCACAAATCAGACTATACTAAACTTAGCGCTCGAACACAAAAGAAAAAAGAACAAAAATGTTCTAAAAGTGTGTCTAAGGTATCGCGATCATAATCAGGGCTTTGCCAAACAGAATAATATGGCACGATAAGATAAAAACAACGAAAAGAAATATTTACGAATTGTTCCATAAAAGGGATTAGTGCAGACGAATAAATAATATTTTCGTTCGGAATAATAAACAAGAAAAGATTATTAAACAAGACAATGTCTGAAAAGAAAAGGGAAACAACTAACAATTCTATATATATATATATATATATATATAGATATACATTTAATTTGATAATAATTTTTCGAATGGTATTTGTTCCTAAACAAGCGCGCAAGTTCTAGAAGTTTTAAACAAAGGCATCGTCGAGCTGGAAACGCTATCTCCGACGGGCGAAATGTAAGCAAACGAGTGCAAACGAGTGCAATCGAGGGCAGAGAGACAGAATTGAGGGAGAATTAACTATTTAGTCGAAGATCGAGAAGTGGGCATGGAAGTGAGAGAGATCAGAAGAGACAGAGGTGCCGGGAGCGAAGCGTGTGCGCCGCTGTGTGTGCACGGGTGTAAGGGCTGGCGAAGTCGCGCGGCGAACGAACGTCATTATAAGACGGTCATCCAGCAGTCCATGGACGACAGTCGAGGGTCTTCCTCGGTACGCGGCATCGATCGAAGCCTTACGATATCGTAAGACAGTGCCAGAGAAGTGTAAACATCATTTCTTGTCCGGTTGTATGGTATTGAAAAAATATTACGTGCCGTATCCGCCCTCTGCCGCCATAAAAGATGGCACCTTCGTGCGTTGAGGTGATCCTAGTCGGTTTCATTCTTGTCCTACCATTCCTCTACGAGATGAACAGGACCTTCCGTTACTATTTCAAATTTCTCCTCTATTACGGATACGTGACGATCAATTCCATCACTTTACTCCCAATTATGATGTTACGTCCACGGAACGTAAAGAACTTTATGTTAGTAATTTACCAAGCAAATCTTGATAAACACTATGCCTCTCATTTCATTGTTCTGCT